CCCCGGGGAGGTCCCATGCAGGCAGATGGCACGTGGGGCCCGAGGACTTCTCATCCCGGCCTCACCTCCCTGAGACACAGGGTGAAAATGCTCAGAAGTGTTTGGCGTTTGAAGGTCTGTTGTGACGATACAGGTGAGCTGGCCACGTGACTTTGTTTTCATTGTTTTTTTCAGGTCAATACAGTTATTTTTGTTCTGTCTGCAAAAGTTTCCTGCCAAAGAAAGCACCACTATTATGAAAGAAAAGGGATCGTGTAAGTTGGTGCTAAAGCTGATGGGGGGTGGGAGGGGGTGGCACTCTGTGTGCAGACCCGGAGTGTCTGGTTCACACGCCAGGCAAGTGCCTGTCACCCAGCGGGCTGGGCCTCTCAGCCACTCTCAGCTCAGGTGTGGCCGTGTTGTTGGACAGCTGGCTGGGCCACTCGAGAGGACCCATGACAGCTGCCTGGAGGGGGTCGCAGGCCGCAGTGGGGGAGAGGCCAGCTGCATCTGAATGCTGTCAGGGCTGTGCCACCCAGGAGTGCCTGGATCCAAGTAGCATGGGACACTGCAGGGGAAGGAGGGACCACAGGGAGGACCGGGCGGGAGGCAGGCAGCAGGGCGGTCGGGTCCAGGTGGTGTTTAGGGTGGAGGAGACAGTGTTTGGTGGCAAAGGGCTTTAGCAGTGCTGCCCAGGTGCCATCCTTCTTACCTGGGCTGGGTGCGGCTTTGGTAACAGATGCAGCTGAGAGGAGGCCGGGATGATGGCGGGTGGGGGACGTGCTGAGATGATGGTGATGCTGGGGCCACAGGAACGTCCGGCAAGAATGGGGGCCCAGCACAGAGAGAACCCGCAATGTCTTAGGGTCGGGCGAGGAGAGGCAGCCCACAAAGAGGCCTCTGAGGGGCAGGCAGGGCGACGGGAGAGCCCGGCATGGAGTCCAGAAGCTGAAAAAGGGTCAGGGCAGAGGGGGACAAGGACATCCACTGGGCCGGGTGACCCGGGCCGGGAGGGGGGTGAAGGGGAGATGCACAAGGAGGGGCCGCTGGGCAGCAGAGGGTCAGGCCTGCCCGGCCCGAAGAAGACAGCTTAGAGAGGTTTGGGGAAGGAAAGGAAAGTGAGTGGACAGGTGTCTGGACAGATGACAGAGGCACGAGTGGGTGGGGGGACGCACAGATGGGAGGGAGGACTGGAATCACCCCCGCCCCCCCCCGCCCCCCCTGCAGCGCGCTGCTGAGGACGTCCTTCCTCCTGCTGCTGCTCATCAGCGCCACCTGGCTGCTGGGGCTGCTGGCGGTGAACAGCGACGTGCTGACCTTCCACTACCTCTTCGCCATCTTCAGCTGCTTACAGGTGGGCAGCTGTCGGATCCACCTGGCCTGGGCTCTGCTCGGGCCAGCCCTGGTGAGGCCATGGGTCGCTTGTGCCGCTTCCTCTCTGGAATGGTTCAAGCCCGGCTGGCCAAGAGGGTCCCTGGGGCGTTTCTCGACCCAGCACCCAGCTGTGTGGGCACTCTTGGGATAACTGGGGCCACCCTGGCCTCCAGTACAGCTGCAGTGTGTTAGGGGTTACAGTGAGGCCTCACCACACATGGTCCCGCCATCAAAAAGAAACCTGTTGTCCCAAACACAGCCCTGCCCAGAGCCTTCCCAGGGGCCCCCGTTCCTTGGTCCTGCTGTATTGTCACTGTCCTTTGCTCAGCTGGTGCAGGGGTTCACACTCCCACCCCAGGCCGGCATAAGTACCACTTGTGTCCCCAGAGAAGGAGTGTTGGCCATATACAGTTCACACGAAGGGCTTCCCAGGAAGTCGATTAATGATGTGATGTGGGGGACCCCAGATGGCCTGAGGGCTGTGGCCAGGATGGGGTCCTCCTGGCCCCCGCATGCTAGCCGCCCTGCCCAGGCTCCCCCTGTGGGGGCTGCCAAGTGTGGGCCCTGGCGGGCGTTTCTGCCGCCGCAGCCCAGGCGTCTTTCCTGACCCGCCGCCCTCCGTCCAGGGCCTCTTTGTCCTCCTGTTCCACTGCGTGCTCAACAGGGAGGTCCGGAAGCACCTAAAGGGGATCCTTGCCGGGAAGAAGCCACATCCGGATGACTCGGCCACCACGAGGGCCACCCTGCTGACGGTAGGAGGCACCCAGAGATGCCCACAGGGCCTGGGCGGCTCTGCTCACCAGGGGCCCGTGTGGGTGTGTGGGCAAAGCAGGAGACACAGCTCCGTGGTCTGTGTCCCTCACGGAGGGGGCATCACAGAGCCGTCCATGGAACAGGCGTCTCTCCTGCCTGGACGGGGACTGGCAGTCACAGACCTGCTTTTCAAGGTCTCAGGAGGACGGGCCCCGGCGGGCGAGGACCCCTGACCAGAAGCAGTGGCTGTGGGAGCGAGGCCGTGCTCTGGCCACTGCGGGGGACGGGCAGTGGACTCCTCTAGGCCCCTCCGAGGCTCCTGTGCCCAGCAGGGACACCATCAGGGTGCCAGCACTGGGGCTTGCTATGGGGACAGAGCTACCCTGGTGACCTCTGCTCGGCCAGTAACCAGCCTCCCTTCCCCCAGCGCTCCCTCAACTGCAACACCGCCTACAGCGAGGAGCCCAACGTGCTGCGCACAGCCCTGGGCGAGTCCACCGCCTCGCTGGACAGCACCGTCAGGTCCGGCCCGCTTGCTGTCCTCCCGGGGCGGGGGGTGGCCCAGCTCCCCTAGCAAATGCAGGCTTCGTCACCTCGGTCCCATGCCTGCTGGGAAAGCCCCGAGCCGGGTGCCCTGCTGTTCCAGTTGACGGGAGCTTCGTGCGCTCGGGGAGCCATGTGTCCCCCTGGGTGACGGTGCTGAGCCCACCCTCCCCACCGTCTCTAGGGACGAAGGGGCCCAGAAGCTCAGCGTGTCCTCTGGGCCAGCGCGGGGCGGCCACGGGGAGCCGGATTCGTCCTTCATCCCCAGGAGCACCAAGAAGCCCCACGGTACGTGTCCCCCCGAGGGCGGTCTCCTGTCAGCCTGTGCGTCTGCCTCCCTGGGGACTGTGGGCGAGATCTCATTGGCTTCTGTCTGTCCCACGTCCCTCTCGGTCACTGGAGAGCATACAGCCTGAGGAGGTGTCTGCAGCTGTGTCCCAACTGAAGGGTCAGCAGGGCCCCTACTGCCCCCAAATGCCCAGAACCCACGCGGCTCTGCTCTGCCCTTGGCAGGAAGCCCGCTCCCCGGGCCTGAGCCTCTGTCCCTCCTGTCCACCCGCAGGTCACGACTCGGACTCCGACAGCGAGCTGTCCCTGGATGAGCAGAGCAGCTCGTACGCCTCCTCACATTCGTCGGACAGCGAGGACGATGGTGTGGAGGCCAAGGACAAATGGGACCCCGCCCGGGGCCCTGTCCACAGCACCCCCAAAGGTGAGTGAGCCGACACAGAGCTGGAGGTGGCGGGAGGCGCTGGCAGGGAGGAGGGCCCCCCACAGTATTCAGAGCACAGGCAGGGACGAGTTGGGGGTCTCTCTAGGGACCCTCCCTGCAAGCTCTCACAAAGCTGACCCCACCTGCTGCAAGGGGAGCCAGCACGAGGTTCCTAGATGTTGGGGTGTAGTGTCGGGGATTGCAGCCTGGCCCCCCACTGTCAGGACCTTCCCTCTCAGCTTCAGTGTCCCCACCAGAAGGGTGTAGCCCTGCCAGGCCTGGAGGTCAGGACCACGCAGGACGCGCACTCCCCGCGGAGGGACGGTCCGCGGCCTTTTTGGGGGCGTAGCTCCCAGCGGTGGGCGGTGGAGGGCCTCCCCGCTTGCTGAGGTTTGCCCTTGCCCCTCAGACGCTGTGGCCAACCACATCCCTGCCGGCTGGCCCGACGACAGCCTGGCAGGTAGCGACAGTGAGGAGCCGGGCGAGAAGCCGTGCCTGAAGGTGGAGACCAAGGTCAGCGTCGAGCTGCACCTGGACCAGCAGGGCAACCACTGCGGCGAGCGCCCCCTGGACGGGGAAGGCGGGCTCCCGTCCAGGCCTGGGGTCGCGCCCCCCACTCAGCCACCAGAGCAGAGAAAAGGTGCCTCGGGTGGTGAGGGCCCCACTCCCCCGGAAGTCTCTGGTCCTGAGGGAGGGGGACAGNCTGTGTGGCTTTGGCAGTCCCCGGCTGCTTTTCTATTTACAAAGAGGATTTTCAAAATGCAAGGGTCACAGGACGCTGACGGGGGCTCAGGAGGAAGCACAGGCTCAGGCTCCGCGCCGGAGACTTGACGGACATGATGCGACCCCTTGAAACATGAGCGGGGCCCTGGGGTGGTAGCAGTTCCTTCTTACAGGTGAGGGAGCCGGGACCAGCGAGGTTGAACGACCTGCCCAAGGGCACACAGTCCACTGTTTGTGTGTGTTAGCTCATGTCTGTCACTAAATGGTGACCCTGTTAGCCCTAGAGAGATGTGAGGCCAACTGACCACCCACATGCATGTGCAGTGACTCCAGGAAGTTCCGAGGTTACTCTCACCTCATCCTGATCTCTGCCAAGGTGAGCTACGGGCCGCCACTCTCAGAGGGCCATTCCAGTGCCACCGTGCCACGTGCTATTGACATAGCTGCGGTTTCCTCCTGTACTAAGGACCTGATTTAGCACTATATCGAACCTACCAAAGACCCAGATCCAAGAAGCCCTCCTGTCTCTGCCCTCAGAGCCCACATTCCAGACACAGACACGGATGTCAGGTGCCAAAATGGCGCTGAGGTGGCAGGTGGGGGAGCCGTGCCGGGTCAGGGAAGAGCTGAGCAGGAACCTCCGTTTGCTATCCAATGGGAGGGGTCCAGGATAAGTCGGGGACCGGTCAGGCATCTGGTCACCCAGAGCCTGAGGGGTCGCACCAAGTAGCGCCATCTTCCTTTTGCAAGCAGCATTGTGCCACCGAGAGCCATAACCCAGCCTGCATTTTAGGAAGATGACCTCGGCAGTGGGAGGATGGGTGAGGGGGTGGGAGGTCAGAGAGGCAGCCTGAGCAGCCTTCACTCGTCCGGCAGTGAGCCCCACAACCCCTGCCGGACAGCGGGCTTGAGAAGGTGGGAGTCAGGGCCGACCGGGCGTGGAAGGAGTTGGGTCTGCAGCAGGGGCGAGTAGGTGGGACACCACTCAACTCAGCCAGAGGGTGGACACTCCCCCTGCGGGGCTGGGACAAGCACGGGGACGCATCGCCCCGCGTGAAGAGGACGTGTGTCTGTGGGAGTGGACAGGTTCTAGGAGAGCGAGGGGATACACAGACAAGGATGGGATTTCCTGGCTAGCTGGTCAGGGCCACTCGCATGCTTGAGCTCTCCTTCCGCATTATTGTAAGCAGTGGGACCCCTCAAGTCCCTTGTCAGGCAGCCAAAACCCCCTCAGGAAGGAGGGTGGTCAGCCCCATCTGGTCGGTAGCTAGGGGCAGGGTATTAAAGGCCTCCAGAGGGCCACACCCATGCCCTTGGTGGCTTCTCAGCCCCTACACCGGGAGCACCAGGCCTGGCCCAGAGGACAGATGCATAAGCTGGCGGGGGTGAGGGGTCCTCCCCCAGTGCAGTGCTGCTGCCGCCTGCTCCCCGCACCCGGCCAGGTTAGCCAGGCGCACTTCCACCTGTGCAAGCCCTTATCAGTACATCAGGCAGGGGCAGGCTCCCAGTGGAAGTTGCATGACTCACTTCAAAACCCTTCAAGTGTGCCTTTGAGTGGTCTCAGTGGGGGTGGGGGGTAGAGTGGGGGCAAGCCACTCCTTGTAACTGAATACCACGTGTGAAATGCAGAGAGGCCCACCCCTCTGTTACTCACCACTCCTGGAGTGAGAGCCTTGCTGCCAGCTACGCACCGGCGAGCACGAAGAAGAGAAGGAATGCTCGGTGTGCAGGGTTCTGGGGGCTTGGCGCCGAGCCTGGTTTTTATGGGTTTTCTGTAAACTCACCATCCCATCTCTGGGTGAGGTTTTTCATCTCCAAGATTACTGGCAGTCTGAAATGATTTATTCTGCATTAGTGTGTTGCCTTTGTTCTGTTTCTGGAAAAGGTGGTGTTCTTAGTGCAGAAGTCTGTGCACGTATGGCCCCGTTAAATTTTAAAATGTTGTATTTCTAACACTTCTTTTTTTTAAAAAAAAAAAAAAGAAGTGGTTTTATGGATTTGCTTTTCACATGGTTTCAGGCAACAAACCACGAGTCTCCTCCCCATTCTTCCTTTTCATAAGCCAACAAACAGTGCTTTGCACATGGGGGGAGCAGGGGGTGTTTCGTGTGGGGCATGCCTGCCCCGGGCTTCCCCTTCACCGCCAGACTGCCCACCGCTAAGTACAGACTGACCGCGTACGGCGTCGGGGGCAGAGAGCGCGTCTCCAGTCACAGCCTACAATCCTGCTTTCCTTCTGCTTGGGCCCCGCTTTGTACTGTATTCGACAAATGATAATTCACAGTGGTTTTGTTTCTGGAGAGAACATGGCCCCTTGAGGTTGACATGACAGCAGGTGGCACTTGTGTTCCCAGCGAGCCTGTGCTCTGTTGAGCTCCCCACGGGGTACACTGACCTGGCACCTTGCAGCGCGGTCTCCACTGTGGGTCAAGGTGGTGGCCCTCTGTCTCCTCCCCCCCTCCTGTGTCTGTTGAGGTCAGAGTATCTCCTTGGCTCTGGCCGAGGCAGCGCTGCCCGAAAGGAGCTGGGTGAGGCTGCTCTTGGCCGAGGTGCAGAGCTCTGTGTTCTGTCCTAGAGCCCCTTGGACTGGATGTCACTCAGGGCCTCCGAGGCGGGACTCCCCCGGTGCCACAGTGTCCCCAGCACTCCCTACCACTGCCTTCCCACCCATTCTCACAGCATCTTTGGTGTCCAGGGATGCAGGCTGGCTCACCAAGGTCCCCAGAGGGGATGCTGTCCCTCAGCTGCCCCGGAAGTTGACTTTCTCTTCCTGACACCTGGCCACTGGCCAGATACCGGCACCCAGCACAGAAACAGAACAGACGCTCCCATCTCGGTCCTTTCTTTGGCAGAGATAGAACCCCGTGGAGTCATCTGTCTTGCTGTCGTGTGCTGCCGAGGTCATGGAGCACAAAGCTTCTTCCTCCTGGCCACACGCGCTGGACTGTGCAGACCTGCTCCAGGGTCAGCAGCGGTGGGTCAAGGCCAAGGTCATGGTCTGGGGCCCGCAGCCTGAGCAGGCCACCTCTGCAATGTTTTTTTAACTTTAAATGCCAACATTTCAAAATTTTGAACGGTAACATAAGAACACAGATTTCTAGCTTCTGCTGAAAACGCTAGAAGCTCTGCCTACCTCTTGTCCCCAGACTGTGCTGGCTCCTGGCACTGATCCGGGCTGGGGAGGGGTCCCTGGGGCCCCCCAGGTGCTTCAACTCCCGTCCTCTGTTCCACATCAGGAGCCTACAACGCTGTGACTTCTGGCATTCAGCCACTCTTGGGTGAATCAGATACAAAACCAATTAACCCAGTTTCCTTGTTCAGAGCTCCAGACCTTCCCGTTTGCCAAGTGGCCGATTTGGCCGCTCCGTCCCCGCCCCGCGCACCGCCGCCCCTCAGCCCGGTGGGCTGGCGCTGAGCGGCTGCTGTTCCCGCAGTTCCTGTGCACGGTGACCGCCATCGTCCTGCACTACGCCTACATGAGCACCTTCGCCTGGACCTTCGTGGAGAGCCTGCACGTGTACCGCATGCTGACCGAGGCGCGCAACATCGACGCAGGGCCCATGAGGTTCTACTACGTCATGGGCTGGGGCATCCCGGCCATTGTCACAGGTGAGGACACAGGGAGCAACCCCGCCGGGGTGCCTGGGCCAGGACCTATCGCCACTGGGGGCTTCCACATGACTGTGCTGGCGCAGGAGCCTGTCAGGTAAGCCAGCACCCCAGGGCGCAGGCCGGAGAGCTGTCTGCCTCCTCGTCCTTCTGTGCCAGCTCCATCAGTCCCCAGCAGAGGAGGCTCTGACCCTGCACACTCATCTGCACACACGAGTGATTATCCAGTACCCACTGGGGGACGCAGCTCCTACCGGTGTGAGCTCCCTGAGAGCAGGGCCTGGGTCTGTTCAGCGTTCTGCCTGTGGCACTTAACAGAAAAAGTCTCCATGTCTGCCCACGGCGTGGATGGATGGATGATGGATGGGTGGATGGAAGAATGGATGAATAGATGGGTGGGCAGATGGGTGGATGGATGGATAGGTGAATAGATAATGGATGGATGATGGATGATGGGTGGATGAATAAATGGATGATGGATGAATAGATGGATGAATGGATGATGAATGGATGGATGAATGAGTGATGGGTGGATGGATGGATGATGGATGGATGGATGGATGGATGAGTGATGAATGGATGGATGAATGAGTGATGGGTGGATGGATGGATGGATGGGTGAGTGATGGATGATGGATGGGTGATGGATGGATGGATGGATGGATGGATGGATGGATGGATGGATGGATGGATGGGTGAGTGAGGGAATGAACAGTACAGCTGTGCTTCCTCAGCACACTTCTCACTAAGTACCAGAAAGTCAGTTTGCTTCTTGTCGGGAAAGGTCCACACTTCCATTCACAAAGGAGGAGCTGAACCCTCTCTCCTCATTAGGCCATGGGTTCCAGCAATCCAGACATAAGGTCTGAGGCTCGAGGCAATGGGAGACGGTGCGGTTGCTGCCCTAGGGTTCTGCCCAGCAGCCACGTCCATCCTGGTTTCCACGGCGTCACCGACTGGTCTCTGAGCCCGCTCTGCTCCCACCCAGACCGCCTGGGCCCCGGGCTGTTCTGATGTGTCTCCTCTCCCTTTCCTCTGGGGGACCCTGAGAGACTGTCACTTCCATCTCTCTGACCCAAAGACCGAACATGGTGGACACATCACGCCGCCTGTGTCTGCGTGGTTCTGGGAGATTCGTAAGGAAGGAGGCTGATTCCGGTGGCCCCTGAGCCCAGAAGACCTGGGAGAATAAGAGCTGAAGGGGCGAGGAGGGAACAGCTGTATTTGGAAGCCCCCCATGTACTAAAGCCCCCTGAAAACAAGGATTTGGTCGTGCTTGGGCGCTCAGGGGCCTCCTCTCATTTCATT